CCCGTGCCCTCTTAGCCCTCCTATCTGCCCTCCTTGCATACCCCTCAGGGCTCTCGAAGACTTCGGACCAGGCCTACATTGAGTTTGAGAGCATCGAGGCCATTGTGAAGACAGCCAGCCGCACCAAGTTCTTCATTGAGTTCTACTCCACCTGCCTGGAGGGTCAGAGGCGGGGCCCCGGGCTGGATGTGGGCCAAGGGCGATGGGAGGCCAGGAGGTGTCCAGAGCAGCCAGCCTCCTGCTTAGGGGGAGTGGAAGCCCAGAGGTGGTACTCAGTTGGGTGTCCCCCGTCCCTACTCCAGAGTACAAGAAGAGCTTCGAGAATGATGCGCAGAGCAGTGACAACATCAACTTCCTCAAAGTGCAGTGGTCCTCTCGCCAGCTGCCCACGGTGAGGCTGTGGGGAGGGCCCAGGCGTGTGAGTGAAGGTGCAAAAGAGCATGTTGAGGAGTTTGCGTGGGCGGGAGGGTGGGGCTGGCAGACCTCCTGTGCATGTGTGTGTGCATGTGTGTGTTTGGCTGGGCATGAGTGAGGATAGGGGTATCTGCTTTATTTGGGAGTGTGGAACCACATTGCAGTTTGTTCATTCATTCAGCAAATACCTCTTGAGCCTTTACTAAATGTCAGGTTCTGTTTTGGCCACTGGGGACACAGAAAATTAATTAATTACATTGATGCTAAGTGGTGAAGGCCCACGCACGGCTGTGTCTTCTTCATTAAGGGTTTGGGATCTTTCCTTAAGAGTTGAGTGTGAGTGAGCCAGGAGGGTATGGGGTCATTGGTGTCAAGGCAGCACGTGGGAGGGGCAAGAGGTGGGGGTTGGGCTTTGCTCCTCACTGGGCCTATCCCCTTCCCAGCTCAAGCCAATTCTGGCTGACATCGAGTACCTGCAGGACCAGCACCTCCTGCTCACAGTCAAGTCCATGGACGGCTACGAATCCTATGGTGAGGGGTAAGGGAAGTTGAGGAGTTATAGGAAGTCAGGTAGGGTCCTAGAATGGCTTGGCAATTTGCTGGTCTGTCCCATCTGTCCCTCAGGAGAGTGTGTGGTCGCACTTAAGTCCATGATTGGCAGCACGGCCCAGCAGTTCCTGACCTTCCTGTCCCACCGAGGCGAGGAGACAGGCAACATCCGAGGCTCCATGAAGGTGCGGGTGCCCACAGAGCGCTTGGGCACCCGTGAGCGGCTCTACGGTGGGGGCTCCATTAGGAAGGGTGTGGGGCATGACATGGGGTGGTGTGGGCAGGTCTAGGAGGGGAGGACCCAGGGTGGGGCATAGTGGAATCCCTAGGCTACTTGGAGGGTCTGCAGCCACGGCTGGGGGTGGGCCTGCCCAGAGGAGTAGCTGAGAAGGGGCTGGCAGACCCAGTAGGTGTCTGTGTCTGTGGGGTCCAGGAGCACAGGTCCCCTCTGAGTCTCCCTTCCCCACCCCCACCCCCCAGAGTGGATCAGCATTGACAAGGATGAGGCAGGAGCAAAGAGCAAAGCCCCCTCTGTGTCCCGAGGTAGCCAGGAGCCCAGGTGAGCTGGGGCTGTGTTGGATGTCACATGAAGGGGTCCCTGGGGCCTTCTGGTCAGCCTCACTTCATCCTTCATCTCTGCTCTCCCGTGCACCCCTGGCAGGTCAGGGAGCCGCAAGCCAGCCTCCACAGAGGCCTCCTGCCCGCTGTCCAAGTTATTCGAAGAACCAGAGAAACCACCACCAACTGGGAGGCCCCCAGCCCCACCTCGAGCAGTTCCCCGGGAGGAGCCCTTGACCCCCAGGTGAGAGGAGGAACCTGCTGTCCCCCCCACCCCACAACTTTGTCCACTACCACGCTCCTGCTCTCAGGGCCAGCCTGGGGAGCATCTACTGTTTGGGCACCCTGCCACTCTGCGGATGGAGGTGCCGTGGCCCTGTGCCCATGGCCACTCTGGCCAGCCAGGCCTCTGTTAGGTGTGGCTCTCTGAGTCAAAGGGAGCACAGTCAGCCTTTCCTCTAAATTCTGCCTTTAAAAGTGGAATTAGAAATTGTTTTTAAAACTGTTCCCTCCGTGTAAACAGACCTAGCTTGAGCCTTCTGTCTGGAAAAGGCATATGGCTCGGTACAGGATTTCCCAGGGTGCGTTCTGTGGAACTCTGTCCTACAAGAGGCCCCACTAGAAGTAGTTCGTGGTCAGATGAGTTTGGGAAATGCTTCTTGCTAGATTCTTTTCTTAGATATTCCCAGTGCACATTAGCATTAGCAAAAGCTCTGAGCATGTGGACAGGAAGGAAATCTCTTTTCAACTCTGTTTAATATAGTTTCCCAAACTTAATGGGCCAGGAAACTTTTTTTCCATGTAGTGACTGTTAATGTCCTGGTGGACTAGTGTTCTGTGTGTCACACTTTGGGAAAGTGAGGCTTGCTTTCTAATTATATCCAATTGTCACTTGAACTTAAGAACTCCTGGGTACAATTTAGTGCTTTTTTTACTCATCTTCAGCTGTTAACCAGCTTACCTGGGTTTTATCCCCAGGATTGAGTAAAACCAACCTGAGTCCCTGAGTTCAATCCCTTAGTAGATCAACCTTGGCTGCCTCGAGAGGCTTTCCAAGTCTGGCTGGTCGCTCTTTTTGGAGGCTGTACATGCCCTGTCATCTGGCACCTCTGTTGTCACCCATTTTCGCTCCGGTTTCAGTTACAAAGACATAAAAGATTTCAGAATCTTAGCAAGTGAGGCAAGAGAGTTTAGGGTTATTTATTCAAAGCCTCCCTTTTGTGACTTTAGAGATGAGGAAACCAAGGGTGGGAGAGGGCGAGTGATGTGTTCAAGGTCACAGGAAAAGTCTAGGACCAGGGGCCCTTGTCTTCTGACCCGTTCCTGCCCCGTTTTCCCTCCACTGTACCCATTGCCTCTGCCGTGGGTCCTGACTTAGTTACCCTGCTCCCAAACCCAGGTTGAAGCCAGAGGGGGCTCCTGAACTGGAAGGGGTGGCACCCCCCCCACCCAAGAACAGCTTCAATAACCCTGCCTACTACGTCCTTGAAGGGGTCCCACACCAGCTGCTGCCCCCGGAGCCACCCTCACCTGCCAGGGCCACTGTCCTACCTGCCACCAAGAACAAAGTGGCCATCACAGTGCCTGCTCCACAGCTTGGGCGCCACCAGCCCCCTCGTGTGGGAGAGGGGAGTTCATCAGATGAGGAGTCTGGGGGTACACTCCCCCCTCCAGACTTTCCACCCCCACCACTGCCAGACTCGGCCATCTTCCTACCCCCTAGCCTGGATCCTTTGCCAGGGCCAATAGTCCGGGGACGCAGTGGGGGTGAGGCTCGAGGCCCACCACCTCCCAAGGCCCATCCAAGGCCCCCACTGCCCCCCAGCCCTTCACCCACCAGCACCTTCCTGGGAGAAGTAGCCGGTGGAGATGACCGGTCCTGCTCAGTGCTGCAGATGGCCAAGACCCTGAGCGAGGTGGATTATGCTCCCGCTGGGCCTGGACGCTCAGCACTCCTCCCAAGCCCCCTGGAGCTGCAGCCACCCCGGGGACTGCCCTTGGACTATGGTCGGCCCCTCAGCTTCCCTCCACCCCGCATCCGAGAGAGCATTCAGGAGGACCTGGCGGAGGAGGTGTGTGGACTAGCGGAGGCTGGCTGTGTGTGCCTGCAGATTGTGCCTGCGCATGGACTGCGCTGTCTTTTCACTCCACCACGCTGCATTCACTGGTGTCCTCTCTGGCTTGAGATGGGCACTAGGGAGTTGGGGGATACATGAATCAGCCCCAGTCCTTGCCTCTCTTCCCCCAGAGCAGGTGGTAGAATGTGGCTGTCAGCAGGTGTTGGGAGGGCATCCTCAGTGTTCTCTCTGACACGCCCTGTTTCCTCAGGCTCCATGCCCGCAGGGCGGGCGGGCCAGCGGGCTGGGCGAGGCGGGCATGGGTGCCTGGCTGCGGGCCATCGGCTTGGAGCGCTATGAGGAGGGCCTGGTGCACAATGGCTGGGACGACCTGGAATTTCTCAGGTGGGGCGGGCCTGGAGGCGGCTGGGGTGGTTCAGGCCCCAGGGGCGGTGCTAGGAGCCCTCAGGAATTCCCAGCTTATCTCCTAGCCTCTTTTATTCCTGCAGTGACATCACCGAAGAGGACCTGGAGGAAGCTGGGGTGCAGGACCCGGCTCACAAGCGCCTCCTTCTGGACACCTTGCAGCTTAGCAAGTGATCTCGGAGGCACCTCGAAGCTGCAAACAGTGCCTCTCCCCACCCTAGGAAGGCCCAGCTATCACCCTGGGGTTGGAAAGTTCTATGGGGCGGGGCAGTACCTCCCTGCCTATTTATTGGGGATCTGCTTTCCCCACTCCCAATCACTTGGCATGCCCTAGAGTCTCCTGCCCCGCCCCTTGAGGGGCCAGGGCTGCAGGAGGTCAGTTGCCACGGTTACCAAGGACCCTGATTACTCCAGTGCTGTCCTCTTTTTCTGGATCCCCCCAACCCCAAGGGTGTCCATGGGGGTCCAGCTGGGTACGTCTGGGCCCCCACTTTCAGTGCTGTTTTTGCTGCCCTCTGCAGGGCCTGAACTACAAGGGGAGGAGTTCTGCTATGACCTCCCCAAACCCCACGCCAGGGGGTGTCCGTCCGGAAATGAAGGAATAGCCCTCGGAGTGGGCTAGGGTTTATTTAAGCTTTTCTGTGTGGGTTTTGGGAGGGAGGGCATCTTAATATTATTGGGGTCGTTGGGGTGGGCAGGATATTGGCCATAAAGTGCCAGTTTGCTTAGTTCTTACCGTCTTCTGGTCTATACTGCCCTGCACTGGGGGTGCAGTGGCTGGGGGTGGGGTTGTTCTTGTAACCGGGGACAGGGTTCTTGCAGGCAGCCTATCCCCACCTTGGGCACTCAGAAGGGTTGCCGGTGTGATGTCTTCAATAAATTAAGTTTTATTTGAATTGAGCAAAACTCACCTCAATAAATTACAAGTTTTTCAAGAAAAGAAACAAAAAAAACAGGAAAAAGAAAACTCTGTCCCATTCCCCAGGCAGCCCCACCACTCCTCTAACAGGTTCACCCTCTGTGCCAGACGGCTAGGGATGGGAGGGGACACGCAAGGGATGAATTCAGTGGCACCTTTCAGGCCGCTGACAATCCCAGTGAGGACCAGCCTTTGCATGGGGTGTGGATGGGCCCAAGGGGTGGAGCAGTGGGCACTTACGGTCACCAGGGTAAGGAGTGACCCAGCCAGCTGTAGAGCCAGGAAATGGGGCCACACCACTCCTCGAGGATCTCACGGTTGGGCATTAAGGACAGGTGATATTTGATCCCGTATCCAAAGAAGGCCAGGCTAGAAGGGGGCTCTTGGCTCTCCTGGAGTGGGGGTCCTGGTGAAAAGTATTCCACTCTACTGGGTGGGGGTGGGTTAGGACGAGAGTGGCCCTGACTTGGTCTCCAAGGCTGGGGAGGGCGCAACTAGGGGTCACTGTGGGCAGTGGGGACGGATGGGACTTCCAGGCTGGCGGCGGGGAACAGGAGGGACTGTCAGGTCCTGGAAGGGCTGGGACGTCTCTGGGGCAAGGCTCAGAGCCTCCAGAGGCCAGCGGCTAGAAGAGATTGGTTTTCAGGGCGGGGCCGGGCTTCCGGTGAAAGGAGGACAGAACTCCGGAGAAGGGCCCGGGCCCGGGCTCCGCTGGCTGCCAGGCCTTAAGTAGTTCGGCTGCGCCCGCGCCAGGCCCGCCGCCCCCACCGCCCGCCACGCCAGCCCACAACGCGCCCTTGAGCGGCTGTGCTCCGGGACCCGGCCCGGGGCCGGAGCCTAGGGCAGCAGGCAGCGGGCTGGGGCTCAGGCGCGGGCTAGCCAGACCCGGCGCGGGTGGCGGCGGCAGCGATGCGGTGCTGTCTGGCGTGGGACTGCACGTGGACTCCTTGGAGTCGTCGTCCTCGGACGAGCAGCGCGCCTCGCCCTTTTTGGCGCCCGCCGGACCCGCCGCGCCCTTGGCGCTGGCCGCGCGCTCCTGTTTGCGGAACTTGGCCCGGCGGTTCTGGAACCAGACCTGCGGGCACAGAGGCCAGTCAGTCCCGACCAGCGTCAGAGAACGCACGGGGTTAGTCCGGGGCCGCAAGGCGCGGGTGAGACCGCCGTCTGGGAAGAACCAGCCTGGATTATTACAGGTCCGAGTGGCCCACGGCCTTCCCAGACTCCCGGCCTGTTGCCCTATGTGCTCTCCTCCACTGGCCCCTTCCTCCAGATCCCAAGGGATCCACTCGCCCGCGGATCCCAGTATTCTTGGTCTCCTGGAGGGAACTCTGGTTTCTGCTCTCCTCACCCTAAGCCCTGCCCCCAATCTCCTCTTTTAGGAAGCTCGGGACTTCCCGCCTGGAGCGTCCCAGGGCTGCGGAGAGGGGGTTAGGGCGCCAGGGAAATCTTTTGTCCAAGGCCTCCAGTCAAGGCGGGCCAGCTGAACATCTGTATGCGGATTTGTACAGACAGACAACGGAGTCCATCTTGACCCTGCTCTCTTCGGCCGCGTGCCTGACCCAAGCTCAAGCTGCCCAGCCCCAGGGTTTTCACAGCTGCAGCCTGGGGAGGGGACCCGAAGGTGCTGTCTGGCCTGCTCCCACTCCTCCAAGGTTGGCCCAGAGGTCACCTGGGGCTCCCTCTCTACCAATTCCACCCCTATCCTGGCTTCTTAAGGCTTCTGAATGTCCTGCTGTAGGAAGGAGACCTGAAATCAGGGAATCGACGATGGCAGGGCAGGTAGCATGAAACTAAACAGATCGGTCTCCGGAAGGTTTCCAAGTCCTGGCTCCGCTGCCTCCTCTGGCTGCGCAACCATCCCCGGACTGTGCCCTGGCCCTGATCCCCGCTCTAGGCTGCAGTTGCTTGTGTCTGCTCCCCACACGTCGCGCACTAACTTTGCACATCCCCTTCCGTGCGCGCACACTCCCTTACACACACGTGCATACACGCACCTGCACGCGAGCCTCAGTGAGGTCGATCTTGAGCGCCAGCTCCTCGCGCGTGTAAATGTCGGGGTAGTGGGTCTCGGCGAAGACGCGCTCCAGCTCCTTGAGCTGCGCGCTCGTGAACGTGGTGCGGATGCGCCGCTGCTTGCGCTTCTCATGCAGGCCCGACGGCTCCGGGAAGAACTTGTAGGGCACTACGGGTGTGTGCAGGAGGGCGAGGGCAACGAGGGTGGGGAAGAATGAGATGCCAAGCTCAGCCCGCTGTGTCCTGCTCCAGGGGAATCGCGCACCACCCACATCCCTAGCCTGGGCCCTCGGCTTGGTCCTCAAAACCCAGAGCCAGGCGTCCTCAGTATTGCTCAGGGAGCCGACAGGGATAAAGGCGGACCAGACCGGGATCTGGGAGACCTGGGGCCCAAGAGCCGCCGCGAGGAAACCAGAATCCGATCCTCCGGCCAGAGCCCCCTCCACCCCGCCATGTTCCTTCCCCCTCCCCCTCTTCCACCCTCCCTTCCTACACGCCACTCGGTATTTCTGCCTCAGCCCGTCTGCCCGCCTGGCTTCAGGTCCTGCTCTGTCCACCCTAGCCCTGGATGTCTGTCAGGTCTCAACAGCGCTGCTCCTCTCCCCACCAGCTAGCCGTGGTCTTGGCTCTGCCACTGAGACTGTCCTGCCGGCTCTACTTCCAGCCCTGCCAGAGGCTCTCTGCTGAGTATAGATATGGCCCCTCTACCTGTCCACCTCTCTCCTTCCCAGGCCTCATTTCCTCAGCCCTGTCTCACGTCCCTGGTCCCTATTTTCCTCCAGGTGCCCTCTTTTCTCTTCCTCATTTTCCTCCATCTGAATCTCTCTTTGACTTTCCCCTTCTGGGCCACTCCTCTTTGTGTCCATTGAGAAGGGTTCTTATTTCTCCCCACCCAAGTTCCTCCATCTTCTCTTTGCCCCTCTTCTCCCAGAGTCCTATCTCCCCTGTTCTCTTCCTATACCCACCCCAGTCTCCACTGCCCCACAGGCAGTGCTGCTGACACCATCTCCCCATGCCTGTCTAGGTCTTTATATTCTCTACGGGTCCCCAATCTCGACCTTTGTCCCCTCATCCCCTAATCCTTGTCTCCAACACCCCATTCCTATTCCTGTCTTTCTCATTTCTATTTCCCATCTTCTTTGGTCCCCATCACCTGATTCTTATCTCTATCTCCCCAACCTTGGGTCCCTATTTCTCCCAGGGTCTCCAGTCTTCCCATCTCTGCTCCCATCTCTCTGCACCTTATCCCCATTTGCCTAGTCTCAGAACGCTGTGTCCCTGGAGCCCGTCTCCTCATTTCCAGTCCCCATCTCCCCAATCCCTATCCTCACCCAGCCCTGGGTGCCCAATCTGCCAACACTGTTCCAGTCTCTGGCCTCATCCTCCAAATCCAGGGACTTGTCCCCCCACCACCCCCCTCCTCGACCCCAGGCCTCAGTTCGCTACTTGGGTCCGGGGTGGTCTTCCCATGAGGGAAGGAGATAAGGAGTTGGGTGGGGCAGGCTAGGACTCTAATCTGAAAGATGGGGATGACTGAAGAGGCTCGGTGAGGTTGAGGGTTCGGACAGGGACTTGGATCAAAGAGATGGGGGCAGGACTGCAGGACTTTAGCTGGGAGAGTCTACAGGGGAATGGGGAGATGAAAGTGGCTTAATGACTCGGGTCCCCTTTTATGCGGGCTACGGAAACTGGATTTGGTGGCACAGAAGGGTTTGGGCCCAAGCGGGATGGGTCCAAGATAGGGCGGGAGGGGCCTAATGGCGCCAGGGCTCTAGGAAGGTTCCCATCTGGGGCGGCGCAGCTGCCTGCAGGGGTCTTTGCTAGGGGTTACCCATCACCAGGGACAGGGGTGATAAGGATGGGGGTCTGACTGGACTGAGCCTGGTGTCTCTTTCAAGGATACAGGGTTTGGAGAGGTTTGGTGGTCAGTCTTTGCAGGTGGGGCGGGGAGGGCCTCGAGAGGGGCCCGGGATCTAGTGCCTTGACCCCGAAGAGCACGGGATGGAGATTTGGCAGCGGGAGAAAAGGAACGCGAGGGATGACAGGGTAAGGCTCATCCCTGCTGAGGGGAATCCCTCGTATTACTGGGGATCTCTCGGGTCGTTGGAGGGTCTGGCCAGGGAAGGATGGGGACGGCTGCATTCACTTGCCGAGTGGGGCCGGGGGTTCCGTAGGATTTGGAGGGAGGGTTGGGCCCGGGCTGCGCTCACCTGCCGAGTAGGGCGCGGGTTGGTGGTCGCGTAGGGCGCCAAGCGCGCAGTTGGAGGAGCCGAGCGCGGGGCAGGGCGGCCCTGCCGCGGGGAAGGCGGGCCGCAGGGGGCTGTATTGGAAGCCGCCAGGCTGGCTGCAGGCGCCGAAGTCGCCGTAGGCGGACGCCTCCATGGCAGCCACGCACGAGTCGTACGAATTGAGGTAGGAGTAGTCCATCGGCCCGGGGGGCGGGGGCGGGGGCCGGGCCAGGCCGGGTCGGGGTCGCGGGCCGGGTCCGGGTGGAGGTCGGGATGGAGGTTCTAGCGCCAGGCACCGAGGACCCGAGGCCGACTCTGAGCGCCTGAGAGTCCGCCCGCCCCGTCGCGACCACACTCTGCCCGGGTGCAACGCAAGTGCAGCCCGGCCGGCCCGCGCGCCTTTTAACGCGCAAGACCCCGTGGAGGGGGCGGGGCGGGGCGAGCTCCGCGGGGGCGGGGCCTGGGCGGCCCAGACCCCGCCCCCAGCTACCCCGACCCCAGCCCCAAAGGGTCCCTGCCGTCCTCTTAGGGCTCTCGAGGTGCGGGGCAGGGATGCGCAGGACTCCATCCCCAGAGTCCCCATCCTGTCCCAGTGCGGACCAGACCTTGCGTCCCTACACATCGTGCGAGGCAGGAGGGTCCCGACCCCTTTCCCGGGCCTCCCCACCTGCGGCCCCGCGGAAGGGAAGGCAGGCAGGCCCGGCGGCGCTCGTGTGAACAAGTTAATTCAATTTGCCCGGCTAACCGAGTTATTCCGATTCGGCCCCTCAGCCCCGCCCCCAACGAGGTCCCATCCCAGCGGAGACAGCTGAGGCGGCGCAGGAAGGGGGATGGAGACGAGGACAGGGAAGAGATGGAGCCTGGGACGGGGCAGGGAGGGGACGTGGATACAGAGAGGAGACGCAGGGAGCGGAGGGGACAGACACGGTGATGGAGACAGGGACAAGGGAGACTGAGGTACGGAGATGGAGACAGGATGAACATGAGAGAAAGACGTGTGGAGACGGGGACAAGGCAGAGATAAAGAGACAAGGATAAGAGAGACAGGAAAGATGGGGACAGAGGAGCGCGGAGGTAAAGAGTGAGACAGGCATGGAGACAGAAGGGGTCGGGATGAGACGTGGGCTGCAACAGGGATTGCGAACGGGAGACTGCGAGAGAGATGCGACAGGCACAGAGGAACCGTCTCAGAGGGACACGGCCAGGGACAGTCACAACGGAGGGGCAGAGGCGAGGGGGAGAGAAAGAGCCTCCGAGAGCTGAGGCCCCCGAGCCGGAGCGCACAGGACGCCGAGGGACTTGAGGGGCGCTGGGGGCGGCCCTGCGCGGGGCTGCTGAAGGGGAAGGTCGCGGAGCCGAGGTCCCGCTATCCCAACTTGTCCTGAAGGCCGCACGACCCTGCGCTTCAGGGCCTGGCCTGCGCCTCCCCTCCCCAGTTCCCTCGGCTCAGTCCTCCTCCCCGCCGGGCCGGGTGTGACCCCGGGCACAGTATCCGTGTGATGGATGTCAGGAAGGAAGAGTAACACAGTGACCCTTTGCTCTTCTTCAGTTTCTCACCCCTCTCCTCCAGAGGCTCCTTTCTTCTCCAGGAGAACCACCTAGCTCAGTCTGCACCTGGCAAGACAAGTCCCTGCACAGATTCGGGCACCAGCTCTCCATTCTGCGGGACAACGGGACACACTGGGGCTCCTCACCAGCAGAAGGGAACAGAGAGCTCCTCCGCGGCTGCCGCGCACCCGGTGCGGTGGGCAGCTTCCCGCCCTGCCCCGGCCTTCGCCACCGGCAGCGCGGCGGTCCCGCCGACCCGGAGGCCGGGACCCAAGGAGAAGCCAGGGGAGGGCACGTCTTTGTTAGCAGCCAGTCCTTGGGGGTGGAGAGAAGGACTCCTGGAATTCTCTCCCCTAAGTGTGTCCCACAGGCGAGGCACACCCCTCCTCAGGTAATCCCCTTTCCTGGCCATTCATTCTGCGCTTCGCACCGGGACACCCACCCCAATTTCCGCAACTACTCCCCGCCAGGGGGGTTCTTTGAGGCATTTGCTCAATATACCTTTTACTAAAAAAATTTTTTTTTATCGTAGTAAAATACACGTAATGCAAAACCACCTTAACCATTTTAAATGTGCAGTTCAGTGGTATTAAATACACTCATAATGTTGTGCAGCCATCACCACCACCCATCTCTGTCTTTTCCTCTTGTAAAATCAAAACTCTGTGCCCATTAAACAACTCCCCATCCCCGTCTTCCCAGCCCTTAGCCACCACCATTCTACTTTCTGTCTCTATTGTCTTAACAATTCTAAGTGCCTCATAGAAGTGGAATCATGCAGTATTTGCCTTTTTTGTGACAGGCTTATTTCACTTAGTACAATGTCCTCAAGGTCCATCCATGTTGTAACATGTGTCAGAATTTCCTTCCTTTTTAAGGCTGAGTAATATCCCATTATATGGCTATACCCCTGGGTTGTGTCCACACTTGAGCTGCTGTGAATAGTGCTGCTATGACAAATGACTCTTTAAGACCCTGCTTTCAATTCTATTGGGTATACACCCAGAAATAGAATTGCTGGATCATATGGTAATTCTTTTTTTTTTTTTTGAGATAGAATCTCACTCTGTTGCCCAGGCTAGAGTGCCGTGCCATCAGCCTAGCTCACAGCAACCTCAAACTCCTGGGCTCAAGAAATCCTGCTGCCTCAGCCTCCAGAGTAGCTGGGACTACAGGCATGTGCCACCATGCCCAGCTAATTTTTTCTATATATATTAGTTGGCCAATTAATTTCTTTCTATTTATAGTAGAGACAGGGTCTCACTCTTGCTCAGGCTGATTTCGAACTCCTGACCCCAAGCAATCCACCTACCTCGGCCTCCCAGAGAGCTAGGATTACAGGTGTGGGCCACCGCACCTGGCCTCTATTTTTATTTTCGAGGAACTGCCGTACTGTTTTTCCCAGAGGCGGTGCCATTTTACATTCCCACCAACAGTGCACATATATTCCGATTTCTACACATCCTCGCCAACATTTGTTACTTTCTGTTCTTCTCAAAGGATCTTTTAGGTCTAAACTTCTAGAGCGTAAGACCTCAACTGCTTCAAAAAGTTCTCCCTACTGTTGTGTGAGATGCACCTCTCCCCCTCCACACATCCTCTACAGGGAGCCCACGGGATCTCAGAACTGGAAGATCAGATGGGGCCACCGTTCTCCTTAGACCTGCCATGGCTGTCACCGTTGAGATCAAATCCAAGCTCCCACCAGCCTACCGTGTTCTAGGTGCCAGCACTCCAGCCTGCCTCCCCTCATCTTGGCTTTCCTTCTAGCCCTCATGTACTCATCTTTTTGTTCAGAACTGTTCTCCCTGGCTAGAATGCTCGCTCCAATCCCCACCCTCCCACCCTACCCCTACCTGTGCAAACAAACAAACAAACAAAACAAAACAACTCTACCCAAACCTGGTTGCCTCCTATTTATCCACTGGGTCTCAATTTGGACATCGTTGCTTCTTGGAAGTTGTCTCTGACACCCCTAGATGAGGCTGGATAGCCCTGTTCTGTCCCATACCGCCCTCTCTTCTGGTTACTCAAGTCACTCTGCTGAAGTGTTTGCAATAAAGTGCAAGGTTTTAGGGCAGAACTGTGTCTTCTCCCCAGGCCTACCACAGTGCCTAGCCCATTACTCAGCCAACACCTCACATGTCCTCCCCTGCTTGTCGAATAAATGAATTAGGCTAAACTGAAATCTGCCCTTGCTTCCAGGGAAGGAATCCTCATGCTCCCAGGGAGGGAATCCTCAGGCCCACTCCTACTCTGCACTCTCTAAAGAGGGATCCTCCTACCTGCCTCATTCCCCCACTCCCTAGAGACAGGAAACTTCCTCCCCCCTGGGTCAACCTCTGCCTGGAAGAAAGTGCTTCCTCATCTGAGGAATTTGTAGGTGGCCATATCCCTTCTCCAGTGAGGAAGCTGACCAGCAGTAGAAGCAACTAAAGCTTGCACGCAGGGACAATCAGAGATCCAGGGGAGGCAAAGAGGCTCAAGGCTGCCTAAGTCCTGGTTCCAGTCGTCTCAGAGATCATGATCCAGCTGTCATTTCTACAGTTTGGTCTTGGAGGCAATTAATTCCCTCCCGTCTAAACCAGGCGTCCTCAAACTACGGCCCTCGGGCCACATGCATGTGTTTTTGCCCATTTGTTTTTTTACTTCAAAATAAGCAATGTGCAGTGTGCATAGGAATTTGTTCATAGTTTTTTTAAACTATAGTCCGGCCCTATAGTCTGGACAGTGAACTGACCCCCTGTTTAAAAAGTTTGAGGACCCCTGGTCTAAACTTTTGGTTGGGCTTCTGTCACTTGAAACCAAGAGTTCTGATCAGTACTATCTCTAAAGGCTTGAAAATTTTATAGGTAATTGATCAAATGGTAGTGGTGATTAGAAGTTCTACTAAAAAGTGCATGTTGCAGGTTTAGCTGGGCGGAAGCTGGCCTTTATGCTCAGGACTGTGCTTCCTCTTTCTGCAGGCAGCCATTCGCACCTGCTGATTGGCATAGGAGCTGAGAAGTGTCTTGAGAAAGCACTTTAAACCTTGACCACTATTGGGTTCAGACAGGTCTTTCAGATGATGCAGGTGAGGGAACTTTGGAAGACAGGCTGCGTGTGTGTGTGTGTGTGTGTGTGTGTGTGTGTGTGTGTGTGTAAGAGAGAGAGAGGAATGGGGGTAGGCAGTGGGCTTCCTGAGGACTCACCATAAAAGAAGAAGGGGACAGGCAGAGTTGGATGGACTCTGCAAGATCTCACAACAGAGAGATAGTGGCCGAGAGTCTGATGTGGGGAGCTCATCCTGGCTGAGACCTCCCACCTCTCCCCCGAAAATCTGTGTACTCCTGGGGAAATTAAAAATTCTCTGGCATGAAATGCTGTCACAGCAATCTTGCCACGAAGCCTCTTTGCTGAGCATAATGGCTTCACTGCCATGAGTGATGACAAATTCTGGAGCCTGATTGCAGGGTTCCAGCTCTGGCTCTGCCACTGCCAAGCTGTGCGACTTAAGGTAAGTTATTCAACCTTTCTTTGCCTCAGTTTTCTTATTTGTAAACTGGTTAATTGAATGATTAGATGAATTAAAACATATCAAGTGTTTGAATAGTGCTTGGCCCATTAAGTCAATCAGCTACTACTACCACCACCGCCACAACCCCTTCTCCTTCTTACCAAGTGACTGAGTACCACAAGACTGACACACCCAGACTAGACTCTGGTCAGGCTCCTCTGATTTGTTACTCCTGATGCTTGGATATATAATCTAGACATGGGCCCCTGTCTTTGTACCAAGGCATCACCTCCACCTGCAAGATTTCAAAGATATCAGGACCCTGCA